CACCATGAACACACACTCACGGTAGTTTATTTTGACTCAATCGCCATCATGCTGCCACAAACACTCATTAAACTCACCCACCTGTTATGATCCGAATGCATTTATTTGGCTCAAACTCAAAATGGATATTAGTTAAGACTGTTATCATTCTTCTTTTCAGTAGGTTCTGTTTAAAGTTCAAGTTTGCATTCGCAAGCTCTACTTCTACTATCTCCTTGGTTAAAAATACCTCTGATTGGGCATCCCTCCACTAGATCACCAGGTGTGTATTAATCTACCGCTGAAAATAGTCCCAACAAATGCGCTACTTCCTCCTGTTTGAGTAACGTTTGCTAAAAGCTACAGCATCAAGCTGTTTCAGGACGGGGACATTTTGAAAAATATGAAACTATACATTTGTGAGCATTTGTGAGATTTGGCCTTATGGCTGAGTGCCACAGACAGGGCAGGGAAGTCAGAAAGTTGTTGGTTTTGATCTTCTCTTGTGATATTTGAGAATAAGTGAATATTTCCAACCTTTTTCCTTCATCTGCTCTCTGTTACTTTTCTCCATGAACCCTAAATTTGAAATGATTGAGTGTAAACCCGCCACCACTACTCTCCTTCCATCCACCAAACCTGAATCCAGGTAAAATTATTTTCAAATATCTTTTAATAAACAGATGAACCATGGTCTTAGAATCAAGTACACACTAAAAAGGGTCAAAACAGCTCGTCATATTTCATCAAGTCTTTAGAAAGAACAATGCAGGCACTTAACCCAGCTTACGTTTAACAGGGAACAACAGCAGTGGGGGTGCAGGGTGGTTGTGTGCATGCAGTTATGCACACGTGTTTATAAAAGTCAGTAAACAACATATAAATGTAGTTCTTTTTCCTCAAAAACATCTCATCACTGTAAATAATATAATCAAAAGCACATCAGAACAGAAAAAAACACCCACAACCAGTTTCCAACGAAGAGTGTGCAGCCTGGGAGCCAACAGGAAGAACACTTCCAACCCTGCCTGCAGCTCCGAAAACAACATTTACAGATCAAAAAATACACAATACGAGTTTGGTTTCTTGTCTCCCCACGTCTTTAAACTAAAACTACTAAAACAAACACATCAACATCTGATGGAGTTACAAAGGAGCGGTAAAATGAATGTACAGGAGTGAGGTGAGTAAAGGTGGTGAGCAGAATGAATATCAGCTCCTCAACACTTCAGTCCACAGCAGCAGGTCCTTTTATTAATGCTGCTTTAAGTCGTATTATCTTAAACATTAAAAAGCCTCAGCTCAGATTCTCTGGTGGTTTGCACAGCGAAAAGTGCACAATGTCAAGTTATTTATCAAAGTCATGTACCGTGGCACTGCTTTGGTAATTTAAATGTTGAAAGATTGACAATCTAAATTTGCATCTCTTCTCTTTGTTTGAGATCAATTTTGTACACGGTAAATTTAAATAATTCACTGCTGGAGATATAGACTGAGTAAATCACAGTCACACCAACTAGGTTTTCAGTCCTGATATCAAAACAAAGAATAAACCCAAAATGATGCCGCAGTTGGGTGAAACAGCACTTAAACTTTGCAAATGTTCACTTTTAATGTTCAGCTTATGAACTAAATGCATCTTAGTGCACGGGCAGACCAGAAAGTGGCTTGCAGAAAGGGCGGCGCTGGAAGCTCGGTAAAGTACCACTTAAGCCCGTTAAACTAGCTGGCTTGGAACCAGGAAGCTACCTACCAGTTAGCAAGCTAGTTAGCACAATCACAGACTATGGAATATGTTTCCAGAGTGCATTCAAAAGAGAGATGTACCATCGTCTCAAAACTCACAAAAGTTTAACTCTATGCAGAAGCTCCATGCAGAATAACTTCACCTCTATAAGTGAAGCCACTGATGAATCACAGCGATTACACTGAAATTAACCTGCATGTTATAAATGCTTGTGTGAGCAGGCCCTTGGGCTTAAAAATACTTTTTTAAATCCATTAATTACCTTCATTATGTCTTGAAGAAGTTTATTCCTTCTTATTTTTGAAATTCTGACATTTGAGACATTAGGGACGACAACAGCAGTACATTTCTTGGTAAATAAGATGAAAACACTGTGCAGACATCCCCAGAAATGCAACCTCAGTGAATCTGGACTTTGGAGCTCTAAAATCGCTAAAACACGTTTGACAGGATGAGCCTTTCTACTGGAGATGAGAGAGACAATTCTGGGTTAAAGAGTTTATAACATCGAGCGGGATTGTCTTAAAACTGAGAAGCTGGATTAGTCAGTGTCTCAGCAGAGTCAGACACAGACAGTTTAAACAGCTGGCAACATCTGAGCTGCTGCTGTAGAAAAACAAACTTTGGTTTGTCTGTTTCTTACAAGAATCATGAAAGCCGCCCATCGCAGCGCAATGAGCAGGTTTCACCCTACCGAAACAAAACTTCACTGTACAATAACAATTAGTTAGTTTTTTTGCACGACAAGATGTTTTTTGTTTGCCAGGAGCCATACTTTGTTAATAACAACCAGGAAGACGTAAGTGAAGGAAAAAAACAGCAGAGGACGAAGGTCCTATTCTACACATATAGAAAATGGTCCCAGGAAGTTTTGTTGAAGGATTATTTGGCCAGTCGGGTAGTTTTTAAGAACTCAGCCTCAGCACACGGAGCTCATGTAGAATGTGTGCAGTATATGTGTGTGTGTCCTTTAGAGATTGTCAATCATCGTCACCATCATGGTCGTCATCGTCAAATTAGGGTCACATTAAGGTCAGAATTCTCAGTGGGGCGAGTGTTCAGCTTCTCCCCGCCACCAACAAAGCCCAGCTGGTTGATTTCGCCGTGTTGTTTCCACGGTGACTCATTCACATCCGTTACTTTGAAGACCGCACCGTCTCCTGCAGTGACAGGCGGGAGCGCGCCGAGGGGAGGGGCAGCATCACCGACTGGACGCCGCTTAGCCTCCACGGTAGCAGGCCCAGGAAGTTGTCTGGTGGTGCGTGTCCAGCGTGAGGCTGAGGGCCCGTTGTGGCGGTGCTGGAGGAGGATTGTGGGTGGTGTAGTTCCTCATAGGGGTACCAGCAGGTGGAAGCAGAAGAGAGGTCACTGTGCTCCTGCAGAGAGAGGAGGGAGAGGAAGTGAGAGGGGGAAGACAAAGATGGGTATGAATGATGGAGGGACAGATGGATGAATGGGTGCATGGACAAGACACAGCAATGACTCAGTGGATGGGTGATGAAATGCATTGTGGGTGAAAGGTTAAGAAACATCTGGCAGATTCAGATTGTGCAGTTAAGGGCATCTAATTAATCTGCAGGTCAAAATATGAGACTTTAAGGTCACCTTGTTCACCAGTACACTCGCTAAAGGTAAATTTTGATATCTGGGGAAATTATTTCAGGTAATAAGTAATAGATAAGAAGCTTTTAGGTCTGAAGAAGTAATAGTATAGTTTTCATTAGCATCCAACTCTTATTTAACGGCAATCATTAAAAAAAAAAAAAAAAACACCGATGACTTTCATGATTACAAAGTCGTGTTATCAGGTGATCAAGGAAACATTTACCTGCACATTTTGACATGTTATGTGTCTGGCATCCATTGTTGATATAAAAAGAAAACAGCATGCATATCAGGTTTTATGGGTTGAAATTAAGTTCAGCAAACATTTTGTTTTAGTAAGGTGAGTAAAAACAGCAGCTTTCATAACTTTGCTGGTCGACAAAACCATATTAGACATTTGATGGATTAGTGATTACACAATCAATTCCGGTATTTGTATTACTTCAGTGCTCCCAATATGTGAATACTGTGATAACATCTCTCACATCTGTTTAACTGTCTGGCAGCTTTTTTTGTTCTGTTTGTGTTCTACTAGTGTTAAATTTTTCCCTGTAATGTTTTGCATGTGCTCTCAATTTATGTTGTCAATGTGAAATGGATATTTTAAGAACTCAGTAATATAAGGTTATGTTAAAAACCCCACACCATAGCCTTTAAATTAATCCAACACTGAGCCAGAATCTTTAAGGGAACAGATTTAAACGCTTTCTCATATTTCTACAGAGCGGAATCTGGAGCTTCAGCTCAACTCTGTCTAATAAAACTCTGACTGGATGTTTCTTAAAGAAGGGCACTTGGAAGTCGTTGCTGACTTCTCTCCTTGAGCTTTAACTTTTTATCAAAAACCAGATATTTTGTAAAATCGTCACTGTTTTGGTCTGTGTTTCGTTCCTGTTTTATTTTGAAGTCGTCTTTCTCTGCTGTCCAGTCTAATTTGGTCCGATTAGCCTTAATGGGTTTCACCTTTTTGTTCCCTCGCTGTTTGTGTGAGTCTGCATTTATAGTTCTCAGTTCTTTGAAGTCTTTTTCAGACCGTTGTTGTTCTGTTCCTTGTGCGTCTGACTAAACCCCTGCCTGTTGGTGATGATCTATTAGTTTTAAATGTATTCTTCACCTGCCTGACACTATGGATCATTTGTGGGGGTTTTTGTCTGTGCACTTGGATATTCATGTTGCCTCATTGGATTTTCTTTGCTTGTTGGACTACCTCACTTTGAATTCCGGACATTGCGGCCGTAAGGCCCCATCCGCACTACTCGAGTTTTAAAATGAATAGATCTCCGTCCACATCAGCGTTTTAGCTGCGTTTCAGAGTTGATCTCAGTCTATATTAAATATAATCATCTAGTGGCCGTTCACGTACACTGGGTGTGCGCGTGCCGGTGTAAACATGAAACAGATGGTCTACAGAAGATTTGGCGAAAGACTAAAGCACTGCAGATGAAGAACCGCACCAGATTATATTTTGCGTGGACCAATAACGAGCTGGGACTGTTACTGAATGGCGGTGATAAATGTGGCTGTGGCGGCGGAAAACAGACTGGGAGTCGTTGCAAAGTAATTACGGCGACATGCGCAGTACAAGTGTAGGTGTGTTATTTGCACGGTAATAAAAATACCAAATAAAAAAACTCTCAGTAGCATCGTGTTTCTGCTTTGCATGACTTATAAGACCCAATCAGAGAGCCGAGCGTGAGCGTCTGCGTCATCGTTTCTAAAGTCGGCAGCGTTTTCAAACCTCTCCGTTTTAGGTCTTTGTTTTCACCGTTTTAGTCTGGACAATAAAACAATAACAATGATTATTGCAATATAAGTTTTTTTCAATAACAATATAACAAATGTTCAATAAATATTCAATAAATGTCTGACTTTATTCACTTGAATCATACGAATTAGGACTTATTTTTTTATTAAGAAGTTTATTTTGGGAGGAATAATTACTGAAAAAAGTTTTACTTGATTTTACTTGTGCATATTTGTTGAAAAAGATTTTATCGTAATAGTTTTGAATGTTCTACCTCAGATTTGTGAAGTGATCCACTGTTTGGCATCAAGTGTTGACCATTAAGAAAAGACCACAATTAACCATCAGGTTTCTTCAACTTTTACTCAGGAGTAGAAATCAGCCTTTAAACTTGAAAGAAATAACGATTTCATACTTATCGTGATAATTATTGATATCGAATGACTGTTTATGATAACATTTTTGGCCATATCGTCCAGCCATATCTGGACGGGACTTCTTTTCACATCAAGGACCCCTAAACTGACACAAATTAGACCACGGACCCCCAATGGGTAGAATTTATTCCAGGGTTCCCTTTCTGACTTTTGCTTTTAGATGTTTTATAACAGAAAGTGTATGAAACCCATGACCAAAACAGTCATACAGTCTGTTACTGTGTTTTTGTGGATTGAATTATAGTGAAAATAAAGATTCCTCTTTTTGCTGGGGACCCCTGGAACCCCCTCAAAGACCCATGGGGTCCCACTGACCCCACTTTGAGAACCACTGCTGTTAATCTGCCTGAGCACACGGCCAAGCCTGACAAACAACCCCGTCGATCCAACCAGACGCGACGATCTAACATACAGAAAATGAACTCTGGACACTCAAACCAACTGCTCCCACTTTATAAACACATTGTAAAGTAAGATTATAAATATAAAATGAACTACTGAACTGGAAAACTAAAAAGGAGGGATTTGTTGTTACTCTTTTTTATAAAACAACCTCGCCCGTTATTTCAGTTATGATAACATTTTACCTGCCGTGTTAATAGTTGAGATATGGCGTCACGAATATCCATCCAAATGAAATGCTGTGAATTGTGACCGTAACACAAGGGTTCATGCAGTTACAAGCAACACGTACGAACAAGTGATGCTGCAGTTGCCAAGGAGCAGGGCGGGATCGATCAGCAGTTGCTAAGGAAGCGGAGAGGCAGTGGGGCTTGGTGATTGGACGATGAGCAGCGGTGGAGGAGCAGGAAGTAGGCAGCAGGGCTCATTTGGGGAAAGTTAGTACGTCACTGTCACACTTCACTCTCTGAAAAGCACACACACACACACACACACACACACACAACACACACACACAGAGGAAAAACAGGAAGACAACATGACAGAGGGTTAGCGGGAAAAAAAAGTAGCTCATGATAAATTTGGTTTTCCGAAGTTCAGCTGCAGGTCAGGAACGCTGTAAATGTTATTAAGACATGAATAATGACACACAAAGTGAAGAAAACAGCTGAGACGAGGAAGAAAAGAGTGAAGACAGACATGAAACGTTCAAAAGATGATTGGTCATGTTATGGGAATGAAAGGGAAAGTACAGCTTGACCTGTCTGAAACGATGGAACGATGGATGACCTCTAATTTGGCTGCTTGCACAACACACATAATAAATGAAAAAACAAAATGACGAGAAGCCGGGGTGTCTTAAAGCAACAAGATTAATGAAGACGTGATGCCTGGGTGGGACGAGTTATGATGGAGGATGAGGACGCTGCCAAGAAACAGCATCCAGGCATGAAATGATCATCAGTGTTGCACAAACACATCTGCCAACAAGCTCTGGTCAAACACCTGGCCCCATTGGGTCAAAGGTCAATTACCAGGTCTATCTCATGCAGCACTCAGTTTGATAGTTCCTGAACCAATTAAGGCCTCACTTTACACCTACATCAAACATACATGTGTATGCAGTTTAAAGAGATTTCAGTTTGTACTCTGGATTCAAGACGCTTATTAATTTAGGTGCAAAGGAAAATATGGCGTCTTAAATCGTCAGGTTTTGCCTCTATGGAGGAGCAGACTTTTATGAATCTTCCTGCTGTTACCACAGACTCAGCTACGAGGTGGCGAGGCTATCCAAATTGTAAAGCTAGCAGTCACTTTAAGATGGATGAACACTACAGGGTTCACGCTGGCTTTTGTGCTGCTAGATAAAAATACCTCAGTTGGACACAGAAGCAGAGAGCTCCTGTAGTGTGCGAGGTAAATGCTCGGTAAGGGGAGGCTGGTGGATGGGGCGAATCGGGACTTTGGGGAAAACGGCATGGGGTCACATACGTGCTGCATTCACCACTGCAGAACGGTGTATACCTCTGTATACAAGGGCTGGACAGCCTTCTGGCCTGACGGATCTGAAAACAACAGTTTACAACACAGCTCAGTTACAGTAATGTGAAGAGCTCCTTTCCAAAATACAACACATCCATCCACAGAGGCCTTACTGAAGAGAGTCCAGTGTTAACCTCTTACCATTTTACATGAACTTGTGCCGTTTTGCAGGAAATGTAATACAGCCCAGATGTTTTGTCAGTAAAGCAGACAGAATATTCACATTATACATGTCTGCAAAATGTTGCCTGAACACGAGTGGCTGATTAGTTTCAGATAACTGTACGGCTCTGGTGTAATGATCTTTTCTACAGATTCTCCTGTTTGTCTCTGTTAGAACAGTAAAGAAAAATTAATTTCAAGGCTGACAAAAATGGTGACAGTATAGTATAGTAATTGCTGTAAAATGCCAAAAGACTAGTTTTTACTAGTTTTTACTACTTTTTTGTTTCTTCTGGTGGATTTGTTGTGTGGTTTTGGAAGGAAACTGTTCAAAGAGAGAGAAGAGACTGAGTGTGCAAGGTGTGTTGAGGCAGACAGAGCAAAAGAAAACTTTGCAGGCGTGAAACACATTTCAACCATTGACATCATAATCATCATCAGGTTGTGAAAGTCCTAAAATAAAAAGGGGGAAACACGATAAAACATTGGCTGAATCTGTGCAATGTGAGGTACAATGTACATTATATCTAATAACAAATATCTACTATACTATAACACTTACAATCACAGAACGACTGATTTACAATTAATTATTCCGGGATGTGGGATACAAATGAGATGAGACAGAAGTTTAGCATTTATGATTGTTTTTCCCTGAATAAATTAAGATAATCTAATTAAAATGTTCCACGTTTTAAACCTCAGCAAGAGGTTTGTCTGCTGTCGTTACTTTTTCTGCCACAATATGGAGCCACTTCACACAACAGAGCTCAATGTAAAGGAAATTTCAACAAAATAAATTGTTTATCTTATTGATGGAAAAGATAAATTATCTTTTTATTTTTATCTTTGTGGCTGCCAGGGATATGCACGTGTGTGTGCACGTGTGTTGCTATGTGCTCTTTCATAAGTTCTGCTGTAAAATGAAAAGAATAAAAATAAAGTTACAGAAATTTTTTAGTCTTGGCTTATGATCAAATCTCCAAGTCTGATAAGTGAAGCCAGTGCTGAAGAGCCTCAAACCTGCATCCTCTCTAGCAGCCAGCAGGGGGCGACTCCAGCGGCTGCAGAAAGAAGTGTGATTGTATAGAAGTCTGAGAAAATGTTTCTATTTCTCAGCTGATTTATTCCCTCAGTAAACTTTCCTGATGAGTTTATGGTCTCAGTCGCTAGTTTCAAGTCTTCTTCAACACAGCATGATGTTCATTTAGTAAATTATGGCCCATTTAGAGGAACAGAGACCAGGAAGCAGGGGAGGCTTCAGGGCATCCACTTCTTTATACAGTCTATGGTTATAATCTGTTAATTCAAATTGATAACTAAAATGTGACTAAATATACCAAAGTCCTTGGTAAACTACGGCCGTTTAGACGTTGATTTCCAACGACAAACATGAATCAACATGAGCTGACAGCATACATACAGTGTTAGCCGAGCGTCCGGGGCCACGCTGAGCCACGATCGCCCCTGAGATGGCCTTAATCCAGCTGTGCATGTCCTCTGGACTGTCAGCCTGAGAGGAGAGAGAGAGAGAGAGAGAGAGAGGAGAGGGAGAGCGAGAGAGAGAGAGAGCGAGAGCGAGAGAGAGAGAGAGTGTGAGTGAGAGAGAGAGAGTGTGAGAGAGTGTGTGAGAGAGAGAGAGTGTGAGAGTGTGAGAGAGAGAGTGTGAGAGTGTGAGAGAGAGAGAGTGTGAGAGTGTGAGAGAGAGAGAGAGAGTGTGAGAGTGAGTGAGTGAGTGAGTGAGTGAGTGAGTGAGAGAGAGAGAGAGGTTAATGTATACTTTTGCTTTTTGTTTGTGCTACATCTGAACCACCATGCCGAAGAAGTAATCTGGCTCATAATGTGGGGACCTGGTAAGTTAAAACACACATGTGAAGTGCTTATAAGAAAGGAGCAAAAAATTATGTTTAGACTCGTCCTTCCTGTGTGTTACCTGTATGTAGAAGGTTCTGGAGCTGGTGACCATCTCGAACAGGTTGTCCCTCATCATCAGCTCACTGCAGAAAAAACAACAGGGACCAAGCAGCAGCAACATTTAAAGACCTGCGCGCGATGGCCCGAGTCGGCCCAAAAAGCTCGGACAGCAACACATGCTAACACCTGCTAACAGGAAAGCTCACTGACCTCTGTTTGCACTCCTGAACTTTGTGAATCTCCTTCAATGGGATGACTCTCAAAGCCTCCCTTTCCTGCAAGGGGGAAGAGAGGAAAGAATTAGACAAAAACACAACAACAGTAAAACGTGCATATCCACAGGTGTGGTTCTTTAAACCCGCGACTTCTCTAACTGCTTGGTTGCCATGTTTCTACTACGTTTCCTGATTTGATTGAGATTCTCGCTCTTGTCTGAATCAACAGGAAACATTCTGTAAAATATTTTGCACCTGCGTCAGTCAGAAAAAGGTATGCAGATGAATCAGAGGTAGGGTTACCGACCGTCCCGTAGTAGCTGGGAAGCCTCTTAATTAGGCCTGACTGATTTGTCCCATACGTGACCTCTCTCGTCCCGTTTTTTGACCACTACGCTGATCTAACCACTGACTGATACAACAGCAGCAGTGCTGATCACGACACCGGTCACTCAATCCAGCCCCCCTGCCTCACGCGCCTCAGTAGGCCTGTTAAGTTAAGTAACGTTAAATGCAGTTACTGTGGAAATTGACAAAATAGCGGCAAGTGAAGTGACACGGTCAAACATGGACTTCAGCACCGACAGTCTTGTTACATACACACTCTTCACTTGGTGAGAAGCTAGATGATCAATGAAGGTTTTAGGACCAGAGACTGTGCGGGGTATCCTGAATGATCTATCCCCGACTGAAGGCGAGCCTGTGTTGCCACCGACGCCTCAAAGGGAAACAGAAATGTTTCCAGTGTGCGTGTGAGATTATTCTGTACCTGATGGAGTGCGATGCAAGTTACTTCACTTTTATGAAGATAGTGATGAAACTGCAAATGGTATCCATCAGTTCTGATGAACTGCCATGTTCTGTCTCACCTATGCCAAGCAGGCTGTGCGACCCTGTGATGAAGAAAGGTCTACATGTGGAATGAAGACCCGCCTACTTCCTGGTTTCTGTAGGAGCTCTGTCAGGTTGACTTCAGTCCCACCATTGGTCCGCTCTGTTCCAGCTCAACCAATGGCTCGTCACCACCTCAGCATTACCTCCTGCTCTTAAGGAGAGCCCACCTTTTGCTCTGGGCAGCTTGTCACAAGCAGTTGACTTGTGTGCCTCGTGCGTGTTGATTGTGTTCAGTGTAGTGAAGTAAGTACTTTGTTGGTTAGCTTCTGCAGTCTGTTTGTGTTTGTTAGCGGTCTGCTCCTCTGGTTACCAATAAAAGTTACCTTTTAAGACCAACACATCACAAGCTATGTTCTTTTTAGTTTGTCGTATACAATGCAAGAGCCACAAGTGTTTTGACAGAAAGTAAAGACAAACAGGTAGTGGTTCAATTAAAGAACTGTGATAAAGGTACCGGCTGTAAATAACTATATTAAACCTACCAAATATTTAATTAAGAGATTAGATCAGTTTTTGTCCCTTATTTCACAGTGACAAAGTTGGCAACACTAATCAGAGGTAAGCATTCATCTAATCTTCAGGGACAAAAGCAGAGAGTAAATGCATACTGGATTACAGCTCCTGACTTTATCAAACCTCTTCCAGGTCTTGCCATAGTCCAACACTCCTGAACAATTGCCTATACAAACAAGATACAGAGATATACCTCTATATAAACTGTACAAAGAAAATACTCCAACCTATTTTCACAGAACATATGATCACAATGTCCAACCCAAACCAGCACAAGTGAAAGAGAGCTCACAATGTACTTGTTATTAGTGTTCCCATACCTAGCTGTGGTTCTGACTAAAAATAGCTGAAAATTACAGGCTATTTAATGATGTTGGTGTACTGCATTTGCCTTTCCTGTCTCACTTCAGATGTGGATGTGATCTTTACAGCAACGCTCTGTCTTCTGTAGCTGTTAAGAAGGTTTTATCTTAAATTCAGCTTGTGCCTCGACACTTTGTAGTGATATCAGGGTATTTTGACTAGATTCAGGCTATAAACAGTATGTTTTCTTAACATTAAAGTGATCAGCACCAATCATGACCTCACAGTTTTAATTGTCTGTCAGCGGTGGGACAAAGAAATGGCAGGGATCCCACCAGCTAGCTAGCTCTTCCTCACGTTCAGGATATTTTGAATAGCGTACATCTTCAGTGACACAACTAATAGAAAGTGCAGTGGTCGGCAATAGCGGCCCGCGGGTCACAATTGGCCCGCCGGCAATAATATCTGGCCCGCGGTCAGATTGCTTTGATAGCAGAAAAATAAAAAATGAATAAAATCATAGCGGCTGATGCTGAAATAGATCTCAGTCATGACAGCTACAGTTCCTCACATAATCACTTCCTCTTAAGTGATTGTGCCTCCAAAATAAAAGCGCAAGAAGTTTATTGAGAGCTTTTACTCTGAAAGTTCTGAAGGACATTCGAAGAATACTTCATTCTTGACAAACCTCTGAAAAGCAACAGTAAACGTGTGATTGGATTCCCCTGAATTTCCTCAGGGAAATGAAAATAAGTTTCCACAGCTTTTGGATTGATCAAAACCGGGACGCACACGCAGTGCAGCACATGCTTTACTGTGAGCATGTGAAAAAGTGTCCTTATAGGCTAATCAATTTGTTTAACAAGAGAGGGGGAAAAAGTTGTGCATATATGGGCATCCAGTAAATTCCCTTTCATTTTACAGTAGGGCTGTGCGATATGATGATATCTGTCGTTTGACAACAGAAAACGTCTATTGTTTACAATTTATATTTATGTATTGTGTCGCAAATTCCACATTTAAACATATGTTTTGGTGAGTGAACGCAGTGAAGTTAGTTTTATGTACGTTCTTACACGTGCCGATGTTGAAGGGAAGAATTTGCATTAAATAGAATGGACGAGCCACATAACCCAGTGATGTGCAATACCACTTAATTCCTATACAATCCAATACCA